TGGCGGCGGCGGTATGATTGGCATGGTGGGCCCGTGTCCGTAGGCGTGGTCGGTGGGTGGGGGGGAAGGCGGCAGGGGGGGGGTCGTGCGCCTGCGTGCTCGGGGAGCTGTTGCCAGGGGGGGGGGGGGGGGGGGGGGGGAGTTCGCGCGAAGTGGGAGGCGCATGCGGCGGCGGTGGCGCGTGCGGCTGCGGCTGTGGCGGCTGTGCGGGAGCGGGGTGGATGGGCGATGCGGTGTGCGAGGGGGGCGGGTGGCGCGGGGGGCGATGGGCGGGCCGTGGGTGGGGGTGGGAGGGTGTGTGGAGGTGGTGGGGGGGGGGGGGGGGGGGGGGGGGGGGGGGGGGGGGCGGGGCGGGGGGGGGGGGAGCGGGGGGGGGGGGGGGGGGGGGGCGCGTTGGCTGCGGTGGCACAGCGGCGCGGGGGCTGGGGTGCGGAGGGGCAGGCGCGAAGTTGGCCGCGTGGCACTTGCGCGGGCGGTGGTCAAGGGCGGGGCGTTGGCGGTGGCGGGTGCGGTGGCGATCGGGTGCGTGCTTGCATGCTGAGGCGCGCTGTGGTAGGGCGGTTTGAGGGTGTGTGTGTGTGTGTGTGTGTGTGTGTGTGTGTGTGTGTGTGTGTGTGTGTGTGTGTGTGTGTGTGTGTGTGTGTGTGTGTGTGTGTGTGTGTGTGTGTGTGTGTGTGTGTGTGTGTGTGTGTGTGTGTGTGTGTGTGCGTGTGGTGGTGGTGGGGTGGGGGGGGCTTGGTTCGCAACGCCGTGCCATCGGGCCGTGGGGTAACAGCCTCATCGGCGCTCGGGCCATCGGGCCATCGGGCGCTCGCCATCGGGCCATCGGGTGAAGCGCCGCCGTGGCATCGGGCCATCGCGCGCCCGCCCATCTCAACAACTCGAGGCGCCATCGCCCTTGCCCATGCCCCGACGCTGTGCTGCCCCATCAGGCCTGCGCCTGCACGTGGCGCCCTAGCGCCTGCGCCAGGATTTCACTGGTGCCAAGCCCTGGCACCTAGTGGCGTGCGTGTGCGTGCGCGGCGTGCGTGTGCGTACGCGTGTGCGTGTGTGTGTGTGTGGTGGTGGTGGTGGTGGTGGCGGTGGTGGTGGTGGCGGTGGTGCTAGCGGCGGCGGCGCTGGCTGTGGTGGTGTTTTTTTTTGGGTGGGGATGACTGCCAAGGGCCAAGGGTGGTGCTGGGTGGTTCTGGCGGTGGCGGCGGCGTGGGCGCGTTCGCGCGGCGGTGCTGGCGGTGGTGGCGGGGTCGTGCGGGGAGGGGTTAGGGGTCGGTGGGGGTGGGGCGGGGTGGGGTGGGCGGGGGCAGTGGTGGCTGCGTGGCTGGGGACACGCGCGTGGTGGTGGTGGGTGGGGCGGGCTGCTCGCGGGCGATGCATGCTAATGGTCGGCGGGTGGGCTGACGCGTGGGGCGCGGCGTGGTGCGGCGGATGCGTGGGCGGGGGTGGCCAGGTGGCGGGGTGGGATGGGATGGGGGGAGGGGGGGGGAAGGGGGCAGCGCGCGGGCTGCGGGCGGGGTGGTGTGCGTGCGTGTGTGGCGCGTGGTTGTGTGGGGGCGTGGTAGCGAGGTGGGTTGTGCGTTGGGTCGGGGTGGGCGGTAGTCGTGTGTTACAGCGTGGTGCTGGGTTTGTGATGAGTGCGCGGGGTGACATGTGTGTTGGCGCTCGTGGTGGTGTTTTTTTTGGTGGGGGGCGTGCGTGCGTGTGCGTGTAGTGATGGGAGGGCGTCTTCGTGTGGGGGGGGGGATTTGTGTTACAGTGAGCTTTGGGCATTGGGCCCAAGGCATCCGGCCCTGAGGCAAGACCACTTGCTGATCGCCCGTCGTGGAGTCTTGGGTTATTGGGGGAGGGGTAGCCTGGTACGAAATACGGGCGTGGTTACGAATGCTTACACATGGTTGGCATATGCGCGCGTTGCTGGGTGTCGTTTCTTGGGTTTGCAGTGGCCAGCGCCGAGACCATGCAACTGCATCAATGCAGTTTGGTTGCGCAGCGTCTTCCGATGAGGGCCCGGGCCTCGCACCGTCGTGGTGGCAGGTAATCAAATTCGCCGAGGGTTCCCTTTGCAGGGATGGACGATTTCTGTTGCATGTGGTAGAGCAACGTGCGTGTGGTGAGGCACTCGGGGCCTTTAGGCTCCCCAGGGCCTTAGGAATATGGTTGCATCTTGGGACCTGGGCAGTCTGGGATAGCTTTGGGCCTCCTGTGTATGAGGGCTTCCCGCGGCCTTGTGCATCTTGGGGCCAGAGGCAGCTGGGGGCGTTCTTGGGTCTTCACCAGATTCTCGCTTCTAGGGGCCTTGGGCTAATTGGGGCCACTTCGGGCTTTAGGTTTATTCAATTTCGTAGGGCCTCAGGCGTCCAACCTTGAGGTAGTAGGCTTCCGTGGGCATCTTGGAGCTTGAGCAATAAATTGCGTCATCGGTGATGTGCCGTTCTTCGAGTGAATACCCCGCACACCGATCGTTGTTTGCATGTGGCAGCCGCTTCCCAGTGCAAACGGTTTTTTGTGTGACACACGCCCAGCCTTTTTTGTCAGCGAGCGCCGAGTGCAAGTAGTCATGCCACCATCGCTTCTGGCCGCAGGGACGATTGAGCTGGTCCTGGCAGTGCCCGAGCTTCCAGAGTCTTACTTTTACACGGTGCGTGCGAAATTGCCAGTGTCCATTAACGTCGTGGGCACCCGTCCTGGTTCGAGTGTGGCTGCCAATGACGGCGAAGCCGTTCTTGAGGCTCCCGTTCCTGTTGCTGTTCTTGATGGTCCAACTGGTGCGCCGACTGACGTGCCAGCGCCCTCGCAGGAGCCCGGTTCTTTTGTTCACCCTGACGAGAGCCAGTGGAAGCATGAGCAGCGTGAGATGGACCGCCGGGTTGAGGCCGAGAGGGGGCCTACCGATGTTGATGCTGCTGCTGTTCTTTGTGGCCGCGGCTCCGCCAGTTCCAAGCTGCCAGTGCGTGCTCCTGCGCCGCCAGGGCAATTGCCTTCAACTGCTTGGCTCCCGAAGTTGAGGAGCGCGAGCGCAGAGAGTCGCCAGTCTGAGCTTGCTGCGGAGGCGATCCAGATAGAGGATAGTCTTCCCGCTGATTCTGTTCCGTCGCCGACGACGCCAGACGCCGCCTTTCCTGGGGGCGTTCCTCCTCCTCCAGTGCCTGTTCTCCCTAACTCGAACCTCGGATCCTCCGAGGCCTGGCCTGCCGAGGTCGAGCCTCAGGCCGAGCCTCCGACAAATAAGGTTCGCCCAGGAGTTGTCGCTCATGAGGGTGCGAGTCGGCAGCAACAGCAACAGTCGGCAGTCGCGCATCAGCAGTCGGCAGTTGCGCAGCATCAGCCTGCAGTGGCGCGGCAGCAGTTTGCAGTCGCGCCTGAGCCTCAGCAGACGCAGGTTGACACTCAGAAGTATGATTGATCCACGCCTCCATTGGCAGATGGCAGATGAGGGAGGAGGGGAGGAAGGATGGGGGGGAGGAGGAGAGAGGAGCTGGGAGGAGAGATGAGGGAGGAGGGAGCGCCATCCTCAATTTACCAACGGGGTTGGAGGGAGGGGGGAGAAGGCTGCACCAATCGCGCTGGCACTAATGCTTTCGATTTTGCGCAAAGGCGCCAATATTTCGCAGGCGAGACCGCGAACGCGGTGACGCCAACTCTGTTTCGCACATCGGCTGGTGCGAACATTGGACTTCCTTTCGTGTGAGTCTGAGTGTCTCCAAGGCATATGGCGCCACCATGCCTCTTGTCTGAGTGAGTCTGAGTGTCCTCTGCTTGTGTCTCTAAGGCCTATGGCGCCTGAAGGTCTCCTGGGGGGCTTCTCAGGGCATCTTGGGGCCGTAGGCGGCCAGGGGCATCTTGGGGCCTCAGGCGTCTGAAGGGATCTTGGGATCTACTACGGTGGCCGGGGGCATCATTGGGCCTTTGGCGTCTTAGGGCATCTTGGGGCCTTATGCGTCTTATGGCTTCTTGGGGCGTCAGGCGTCTGAGGGCATTAAGTGCCATATGCATAAACGGTCTGGAATGTATGCGTATTGGGGTATCTGGGGCCTTGGAACTATTGGGGCACTGTAAGGCTTTAGGTACCTGGTGGCATCTTAGGGCCTTAGGCGTATGAAGGCATCTTGTGGGCTTAGGCGTCATCGGGTTTCTTGGGCCTTAGGCGTCTCAGGGGGCCTTCGGGCCTTAGGTGCATTGGGCTCCTGTGTGCTTCATGCCTCCTAGTGCTTTCGCTTCGGGCATGCATGGTACCTCGCGCCCGTTCAAAATAACATGCCAATGCACGCATTCCACACCACATAATAGAAGTTGACCATGATATTCTCGAGCGTGTTCTGCGCCAGATATGTTCACTGGCAGCCTTTACCTTCTCTCGACGGTGCCGTTAGTTGTCATGTCGGCTGGGCATGCGCGTTCGACCTTTCATGCTGGCCCTGGCATGCGAGTGGGTACCATTACCATTCCACCCTGCTTCCCAAACCATCTTCTCGCCCCCCCTTTCCACTCACCCAAGCACCTGGTATATGTGCTCCTCCACTCCTCCGCTCCTCTTGCACTCCTCTGTCCATCGGTTCCGTCGGAGTGCGAACTGACGCGTCTCAGGCTTCAGCGGAATGGGAACGCGTGACGATCGTAGATTTGAGGAGGGCGCTCTAGGGGGCTATGCATGGGCACGCAAATGCATGTCATCAACGGTATGCGCACACATGCAACACCTAAACAATCACACGGTATTCGAGCACTTGCGGTCGTGCACGTGCTGTTCTCTGCTATCGGTCAGCCTATGTTCCCGAATTGCCCGATCTTAACCCCAGGAACGGCGAGACGCTATGCTACGTGCCAGAGAAATATTGCTATGTGTGTGCCGGAGAGATTTGGTCTTGCCCACGTCTCCTCCTCCTCCTCCTCCTCCTCCTCCACCTCCCACCGCAGCCGTTTTGGCTTTGTACGGTTTCGGGCTAAGAGCCTTCGCCACGGGGCCTCAGGTGCCACGTCGGGCACCTTCCGATCTCAGACCCGCGATGCCAGGCAATAAGCAGAAGGTCACGAGGTCATCAGCCAGCGACGCTGGCTTCTCGGGCATTGCTGCCGCACTGGATGGTCCAGACGAGGACGGCCAAATCCTTGGCGACACCCCCGCCGGGGCGGCCCCTGCGGGGCCATCCCAGGCCGTGGCTGACAAGCAGTCCGTGAAGGCCCAGAAGTACGCTAAGAAGATGGTCGACTCTTGCCCCTGCTGCACCAAGCCAGCGAAATCCTGCCGCTGGCCGACCAGCTGCCGCTTCTTCGGCGCCAAGGTGCAGACCGACCCAGGGCGCCTCGACTGCGAGGAGATCTTCACAGCATTGAAGGCTGGACTCTACTTGTGCGAGGACGTGTCCTACCAGCAGTTCTGCCAGGACATGGCTGACGATACTTATGCGCTGCAGTTGCCCTTCAACAAGGCCTCCGAGGATATCGAGGACAGGAAGAAGGCCCAGAGCAGCCTCAAGACGAGGATGCTGCCGTCGGATGTCTCGGAGGCCACGTCGACTGGCTTCACGGTGTTCAAGGACAAGCGGGGGTTCGCGCCAGGGGAGTTCCAGGAGGAGTTCGGCAAGGAACCGTCGGAGCTGGGATACAAGTTGCAGGACCTTATCAGCGAGAAGGGGACGCAGTACAAGGGTGTGCTCAAGGATGGCGAGGGAGAGAAGAAGGGGACGCGATACCAGATGTACCGCACATACGAAGTGCGCAAGTCGGACTACACGATGCCCGTCGAGAATCATCTCTTCGCAGGCCAGGGCAACAACACGTTTAAGAACCTGACGCATTTTGCCAGCGCGAAGCGTTCTCAGGGGGCGATGATGTTTCAGAAGCTTCGGAACTGCCGCCTGAGCACAGCCGACATCAAGCAGCGCAGTGCTGCCGCAGGTAGTGGAGGTGGAGGTGGAGGTGGAGGCCCTGGCTCGCGGCGAGATCGTGATGACCCCGATGACGGAGTCGGAGATGATGAAGATGATGAGGAGGATGAGGCTGGATCGGGCAGTGAGGACGGCGAGGAGGACGACGGATGCAATGACAGCGGCGGCGCCCATCAGCCAGAGGCGAAGCTGTTAAAGGTGACGCCGTCCAAAGGTCCCAGGGGTGCCAAGTCTGCGGTTGGAAGCCCGAGCAAACCTGATTCCTCCCCGAATCTCGGGGCGCCGAGCGTGGCCAACACAGTGGGAGGTGCCAACAGGAAGCGTAAGTCACTGGGTGATGTCGCCTCCTCTTTCGGTGACACGAAGGCTGGCAAGTACGAGCGGCGGACAGTCGAGGAGTTCATCGCACTTCTTCCTTTTCAGGCAGCCCTTTCGATCAGCAGGCATTCTAGGTTGCACTACCGCTTCGCGAATAAGCTGTTGGACGAGTTGCAGCATATGAATCCTCAGCCATCGAACTACTTTGTTCTCAAGCAGCACCTGGATAGGCTTAACATCGTTATTGAATTCGCAAGCAAGGATAACTCCAAGTGCCCGCTCTCGGACTTGCAGGTTGACCTTGCGAAGTTGTCTGAGTTCGTGTCGGATTGGCCCTCCAACGTCAAGGACCTGCTGCTAGAGAGGCGCATGGCTGATCTCGGTCAGATCGACGACCAAGCTACTGACGAGAAGCTCAAGCAGGTCATTGCGTGCTGCGTGCCGTGGCGCTCGTCTACCACCGACGGACTGGGCGACGAGGACGCCCGCCTGTTCAACTTCTGCAGCCCACTCTCAGCACGACGGACGGGTCCGCCATGGAGAAGGCCTCGAAGTTTCGCCAGTTGATGCTTGACAAAGTGATCACTCCCATGTTGGCCAACGGCCCCAGCATCAAGGAACGCATCCGCCAGGTTTGCGTGGTGGCGATGGAGCAGTTCGCCCAGAAGCCAGACTCGATCGATGAGATGACGTTGGCGACGCTATTCGAGGTGATGAGGGTGCTTAACGGCTTGATCTCGATCTGCGACGGCTCAGACACCCAGTGCATCGAGCACGGTCGCCAACTAGCACAGGTACGCAAAGGTGGAGGACAAACCTTGGTCGACAACGTGTCTGCGGTGCTCCACGGCGTCGCTGCTTGGAAGGAGTATCTGAATGACGTGGCCGTGTCAGGGGAGAGGTTAACGCAATAACTCATCGACGAGTACACCGACGCAACGAATGTGCTGCACGACATGCGGGAGCGTGACGTTGAGGACCTCGACCTTGGGGCGCTGAAGAAAGCTGTGACTACATTCAAGGCGCAGGGTAGTGTTTTGCGGACTGACTTGCTCGATAAGCTCTCGAAGCTCTTGGCGGGCGCCCTCGACCACGTGGCATCCCAGGTTGCGAGGTACAAGGTGAGTGTTGCCAGCAAAGGCAAGGAGGCGAGCGACCTTTCTGTTGACGGGGTTACAGAGGCCATTCAGCAATGGCGCGAGCTCTCAGGTGGCCTTCGGCCAGTTCCGCCTCCGATCGCAGGGTTGTGAGCATGGGGACTCGTGGACATCGGTCGGGATATATTATCGAGGTTCTCGGAGGTGTCTTGGATGTGCGGGGCCCCTTTCGGCGCGGCGCTGGGCCTGTTCGGGCCTCGTCGAGGGAGGAGGGAGGAGAGAGGATGATAGAAGGTGGAGGAGTGAAGAGTGATAATGAGCGAGTTGGGAGGAGGAGAAAGAGGAGGAAGAGGAGGAGGAGGAGGAGGAGGAGGAGGAGGAGGAGGAGGAGGGAGGAGGCAGACGGAGGAGGGAGGGTCCATCTTGGGACATCTTGGAACTTTCGTTGGGCTCCTGAAGGGCTCCCATGGGGGATCCAAGATGATCCCAATGTGGCCTCGAGATGGCCCCGGACTAACTTTCCTGTCGCCTGGTTCGGGGCTGGCTGGGGCCATCGTGGGGCCATCCTGGAGCACCAGTTTGGCGTGCCTGAGGTATTATTGGAGCGTCGGGGCGCTCTGAGGGCCCCCAAGGGGATCCAAGATGGCTCCCAATAGGGCTTCGCGATGGCCACCAGCCAAGATTACGCCGCAAGGTTGATGTGGGGTTGCCTTGGGGCTCTCTTGGGGCCCTCTTGAGGCTGGCCTTCCTGGGGGCTGGAGCCATCTTGGGCTGTCTTGTAACCCTCAGGGCCCTCTTGACCCATCTGGGAGCCCCCCTGGCCCATCTTGAGCCCTCTTGGGCAAGCTTGGGCAAGCTCTTCTTCTTGGAGCCCGTGCGTTGACTTGTCTTGGGTGCCATGTGTACACGGTGAGTCGCTTGCTCCGTGCCTAGGGCACGGAGGCGGGTTCGATCTCGTGGACAGCAGCATCCCCTTCCAGACCTTCGACGCCAAGGGGCCCTTGGCGAACATTGACGACGTCATGAAATTCCTGGAACAAGTGTCGGACCACCAACGCTTCATGGCCGCCGTGACGTCCATATCGGACGAGAGCCTCTCCACCATGACGCCTAAGAGGATCGAGGACGCTTGCGATGTGGTCGCTCGTGGATCTAAGGACATGAAGGACGCGGCCGGCGCGGAGAAAGTTGGGGGGGGCATCCTCAAGTTCCTGCAGACTGCCGACGGGTGGTCCCGCGCCCAAGCGGAGACGCTGATTCAATTGGCCGTGGAGATCTGCAAGACCGAGCGCGTGAACAAATCGATCGTGAGCTGTGCGACCTCGATCCACAAGGTGCGGGTGTTGAGGCAGAGGCGGCTTGCATACGAACAGCTCGGAGATTCGGGCTACAGCAGGGCTCAGGCTGACGAAGCACAGGTCATGGTGAGAGGCTTGATCGCTGCGTTGTTCGAGGCCGTCCGCTCGCTGACCGAAGGGCAGGTTGAGTACTCGAAGGATGGCTGCGTCCACATCGAGACGACGACGGTCGAGAACACGGTCAAAGCTGCTTCCGAGAGCCACCTCAAGATGTGTTCCGACAAGGTCGCAGCGGCCATTGGTCAGTTCAAGGAGGTGGTCAAGGACGTTGCTGGCGCCGATGCTCGCTGGACGAGCGGCCTGACGGTGAAGGCCAACGACGTCGTCGACATCGCAGCCGTGGCCAAGCTGGCCAAGAAGACGCTCCTCCAGATAGACGGCGACGCTCTCGAGAAAGGGGCGCAGGACCTCAAGGCACTGACATCGAACCTGCAGAAGATTGCCGAGACCTTCGGGTTCAAGGAGGGCGCCATCGAGCTGCTGAATGAGGCTGGAGAGTTCCAGCGGCTGCTGCGGTCGGGTGCCCTCGCAATGTGCGGGGCCAAGCTGGTGCTCGGCCGTGCGAAGTTCGGCGCCAACGAGGTGACCCGGCACAAGTTCTGCACCAAGCTGAAGAAGGAGGTCGGCGACAGCACGCCGACGATCCAGCTCGAGAAGTGGATGGAGAAGTATGTGGAGTCCGTCCTGGCCATGTCTGGCTGAGGACGTCGGGCTGGACTGTCGCGGTGGCTGCTGAAGCACAGCAGCGCAGGCCGCGCTTCGCCTCCAGTGGCGAAGCTTCTTGCCAACAAATGTCCTATGCATCCCATTTCCCGTGTATGCCGTCTCTCCCCCTGATCCTGTATCCGTAACCCACTTGTTTTGTTATTGTCAATGTCCGCCCGATTCATCCAGGTTCCTTGCTTACTGTCTACCTGCTGCTACTACCACTCCTTCTGCTACTGTTACTACTATTGTTACTGTTGTTGTTGGTGCTACTACGACTACTACCACAACTGCTACTACTACTACTACTACTACTACTATTACTACTACTACTACTACTACTACTACTACTACTACTGCTACTACTACTACTACTACTACTACTACTACTACTACTACTACTACTAGCACTACTACTAGCACTGCTAGTATTAGCCTTATTATTACTCATACTGCTACTACAGGTTATTATACTTTGAATTCTAGTGCTACTACTACTACTACCACCACCAATACATCAACAACAGCTGCTACCACTACTGCTACTACTACTACTACTACCACCACTACCACCACTACTACGACTGCCAGTACCACTCTTACGATTACGACTACAATTACTATTACTACGGCTGCTGCTACTAGCACTTGTAACGTAATGGCGAGGATGGGGACGATAAGGGGGCATGCGCGACGGAGGACAGAGGGACGAGGGAGGACAGAAGCGATGGAGGAGGACAAAGGCCGAGGGAGTGAGGACCACGACGGTGGAGAAGGACTAAACGGCGAGGGGGGTGCAACCGTCCTCTGCACTCTGTCCGTCTGCTCCAACTGCCCTCTCAGCATCCCCTAGCCTTCTCTACCTTCCCCTCGCTCTCTCATTTTTCCTCGTCTCCTCATCCTTCCAGTCCGCTTGCCTCCATCGCATCTTCCACTCTTCCCCAAACCTACTCCCCCTCCCCTGCCCCCCTCTCCTCCTCCACTCCTCCCCCCTCCGCCTTTTTCGGTGTTGCGCCAATGCCAAAACTGGCGGAGTTGGCAACTTCTGACGCTGGCGGGCGCTGCAGTTTCACGGTGCTACCCCGATCGTTGAGAAACGCATCAATCATGCGGCGGCGCATGGCTCCACAGTCCAGTAGCCCATCGGATGGGCAGTGGAAGACCAGTCCTAGCAGGTAGCGCCAACTAGGCGCCGAACAACCACCACCCGCTTGAACGCCACAGTGTCCGTGGACTGTCCACTAGGCACGTCCCCGACCACGCGGCGCCTCCCACTGGAACGCCATGCGTCGTGCAAGCCTGGCCAGTGCCAGCTTCCAGCGGGGACAACACACCTTGCTTGCTGCATGCACATGGCATGGCGCGCGCCGCTTTTCAAAGAACCTTGGGGGAAACCTCGAACACATTTTTTTGAAAACAAAGAAAGAACTTTAAAACAACTTCAAAATAACTTTTTGCATATTTCAGCGATCGGGGGGCTGTCCCAGGCCAGCGCTGACATAACACGAGCACGGGATGCGCGCCTTCCAGCACTTCCGGGAGTATGACCAGGTGGACTTCCTGAACTTGGTGGGGCTCGAGGTCATCCTCCGGCGCTGCCAGCTAATCGAGTACCGCTATGAGATTAAGAAGGCCAGTGCCAGCAAGGACCAAAGCGCTGGGCCGACGAGGGAGGAGGCGTCCTACTTCGCGGGCCCCCACAGGCTCGGCGGAGAGGTGATGATCTGCCCCGTTCTGGTGGAGCGAGTGTTTGAGGAGATCGGGGAGGACGCGAGCGTGGCCAAGTTGATGCGGGAGGCGCGAGAGGAGGCGCGCCTCTCGCGCAAAGGTGGCTGAGTTATGCGTGGGCGACCGGGGGGGCCCGACCTGTCGGCCCGACTACCGCGGGGTAAGCATCGGCGTTTTCATCAGGCTGGTGCGGTTTATGGTCAACGTGATGCCCTCCGACCGCTCGCGCATGACCTCGGCATGGCGAACGGGACAGCCAGCGTCGAACGGCGGGGGAAGCCCCCCGCAGACCTCACCAGCCAAGGGGCCTTCAATGAGCTCCAGTGGTTACGAGGGCGCTCCTGTGATTGTGGCGCCGATTGACATCGGCTTGCTCAGCCTGGGCGAAGTTGACTCGCCAGTTGACTCGGGCCAGCTGCTGTCCGCGGTTTCGTGCGCGACTATCTCTTGCCAGAGGATCAGGGGGAAGGGCGTTTGGGCCTCGAGGTAGTGCCTCGCCGTCCGTATTCTGGCCCTTGCCTGCGTCGCCCTCGGGAGTGCGAGTGCCTGTTGGCCACCATGTCAAGCCAAGGAATGATCGAGTACTTTCTGAAAGTGGTCGAGACTTGCGGATTCTTCGTGTCTGGAAAAAGAGCGGGAAGCAGCGTCTCATTATAGATGCCCGCAGGTCGAATTGTTGGTTTAAGGGTCCCCCCGAGACCCGCTTGGCCCCGTGGGGCTCGTTCTCCCGTCTCTTCGCTGCTGCCGATCTCGCTGTTGAACTAGGCCAGACTGATATGCGATATGCATTCTACCAGCTCGCGATGCCGGCTGATCTTCTCCTTGCTTTGGACTTGCGCCGGTCCGAGCCTGTAGAGCGGGAGTCTGTGTCACCGTTGAAGGGGTTAATGTCTCCCCTCGTGCACCCTCGTCTCTGCGTCTCAGCGACGGGGTGGGCCCGCGCTTTCAACTGGCGCCAGTGCGTTCTCGAAGACAGCAGCTCCCGAGTCCCAG